CCGCAGGGACAGCTCGCACAAGTGGGCCAGCTGGCGTGAAATCACCTGGCCTAACGGGACGACCTGGGAGGGGACGCCCGGCCTCGTCCCCCAGCTGGCCTCCGCCCTCCTCATCCGGCGGCCGTCCCTGACACCTGTCTCTCCTTGGCACGCTCCGGATTTGGTTGACGTGCATGCACCCATGGGAAAACGGTTTCCAACTTTAAGGTAAAACACAAAACCATCCCAAATTTCCCCTCCAGAAACACGGCTGTGCGAGGGTCCCCTCATCCGTCACGCCAGCTGAGGTGACTACGGGACAGAAGAGGGTGCCAGCTGGGGCGGCCTCATCCCACGACACGGTAGCACCAGCTCCGGGGGAGGAAGGTCTGGCTGTGCGGATCCCGCAGCAGTCCCGTCCACCCGGATCCAAGGCCCCAGCATGGGTCAGGGGCCTCTGGACGGTTCAAACACTGTCCGCCCCAGGCCATCCGATTCCGCTGGCCTCAGCGGCTTTTCCTGACCAGCAACCAAGTCCCCGAGAACAATAGGCTCCCCACACAAATAAAAGGACTTCTCCGTTCTGTCCCGCCCCGCCCGAGGTCTTTGTAAATTCCTCCTGGAAATCAACTCAGGACCCCAGAATGACCTAATTTACGCCCAGGGTGAAAGCCTAGGAACCAGTCACCAACCGTGGGTGCGCAAAAGTTCTTCCTAACAGCACAAAGTCTCGTGCAGGAGAAATCCCGGACCAACACATCAGGGCACAACCAGAGTGGCACTTGCCGGGGGCTGTCTCAGCCACTGGAGACCGAGGAGGCTGCCATTAGAACAGAAGGACAGAGACGCACGGCACCCATGGAAGAGAACGCCAAATCACAGCGTGGGAAACGCGGCAGGAAACAGACCTGTTCTTTGTTTAGTAAACGAAGTGAAACGTGGAGAGAATAGCAGGTTTTAAACAACTTTGTAATGCGTCCACTTAATGCCATGTGTGGATGGCCTCTGCATCCTGACCTGGCCATTTACAGGTCCCACACGCACCCGCACACAGCAGGATGGGAGGGTGAGACCATATCACGTTAAATTTTTAGATGCAATTTTGTGATTATTTTTTGAAGCTATTCTTATTCTTTAGAGATACTTACTAAATGCAGATGAGATTTTCAAACTGTAAAACTAAAAAACAAATGTTTAGTTAAAAATAATCAACCTCGTTTACAGTGAAAAAATCAAGATCACCAGCTTGATGCACAACGTGACGGTCAAGGTTAACACTGTTTGTTTACTCACGTGTTCGTCCACTAATGTATTCCCAAAGCTGAGAATGAAAACCAGATGCTCCTCTGCGAAATGAGCTTCCCTCGCCTTCCAGGCCCAGAGACGCCTTCTGCAGGTCCTTCCTTGCACACACACGCGAGCCCAGCCCCTGCCACACTCACTCCTGCTGCTCGCAGTCATCAGTGACAGACGGTTGTCCACCAGGCTGTCCACGGCGCTGCCTGCAGATGGGTCCCCTGGCCCAAAGCTGCTGGTCTCTCTGCTCACAGCAGGCAAGGCCTGACCTCGGCCCTCTCCAGGATGTCCCCACCCCACGCCCAAACTCTGGCTTTGCCTGTGGCTCCCAAAGCCAGCAGGGGGCTCTCCCACTCGCGGCAAAGAAAAATCAACTTCTTCAAAGTCCAAGTTAAATTAAATAACCACATTTCCACCTGCGGACACCTCGCAGAGACCAGGGCCCTTGGGCTGCAGTTACGACCTGTACACGGTGCTGCTCGGGTCATTTGTGGCCAGCCCAGGGAGGTCGGGGGCCTCGTGCTCACCCCCGAGCTTCACGCCCACGGGGACACCAGCGAGAAAGGCGCGGGAAGGGGCTGCGGGTGCTGAGCGAGCCCTCTGACCCACAAGGGCGCCCCTGGGTGGCCGTGTCCCACGGGAGGGGTCCATCAGGGCAGGTCTGAGCCAGGCCGCAGTTGCCGCCCGCCGCGCACGCTCGGACGCCGGGCCTC